TGGACTTTTCTTCGTTGTGTGCTTATATTTTTCGTTGTGTTAAATGGTTGCTTGGTTTAAGACATTATGGTACTTAATGTTTTGGATTGCTGCTTAGCTTTTGGAACAATGGAGGTCTCTCACACAATGGAAACATGACATATATTAAGCCACAACAAATTACTTTCATTGTTCCTGGTGTCGAGAAGTTAGACCAAACAGAGATATCTATCTTTGTTCAGAAAGCTCAAGATAATTTAGTCTGTTGTCCTTGCAGTTCTAAATTAATGGAAACTGACTTGAAATCTACTAGCAATGTCTAGAAAAGCATGCATTTTGCTTTCAGGACCTTGCACTGCTTGAATTTGTGTGGGTTGAGCTTTTTGAGAAGAACAAGTCTACTACTGTGGAGGACCTTTCTTGCTGAGGTATACCTTTCAAATACTCGCTTTTGTTTATCGATATTCACTCAATGACAGTCAACTTCATTGTGACAGGTGATTTTTGGTAGCACAGAACATCTTGAGAGCTATTGTGCTCATCTGTGACTGTTACTTACAATAGATGAAGTGTACTTCACTAATCTGAAGACCGAAGGTTCATATTCTGTTTGTGGGCCGAGATCAGCTGCTCAGGTCCGTTTCAACTGCTTCAATGGGATTCTGTTGCTTAATGATAAATTTCCTTTTGGTTTCACTCAAACTTTATTGGTTATTTGTTTCTTTCCTTTTTGGATTTTTTTTAAACGATTTTTAGGATAATGGTTAATTATGTCCATGTGGCACATCATCGTTCACATTAGCTTTTGAACTTTGTCGAAAGCTGAAATGTTATTTGATTTCTAGGTTGAAGAGCTCACAAAAAGAAAGGCGTGCCAAAGAAGTTGCAGAAAAGAAGTTAGAAGAGTTGGTTAACTTAATGAAATCTGCCAGGGATATATATCTGCATGCAAAATCTCTAAAATCCACATGGACTTATGGAGAAAGTATAGAAGACGATTGAGTCGCTTCAAGCATATGCAATTGGTGATTTCAGGAATGAAGATCAAAGGAAAACTGCTGGGCTGGTAACTTATATAGCCTTTTATATCCATCCATGTTTAGTGTGCTTTACTTGAAAATTGTATACGAGTGTAGAATGCAAGCATATCAAATTCTTTGCCATGCAAGACTACATAATATCAATATGCTTTCAAAAACTTAACTAATAGCTTAGTTAAAGAAACGAAAAAGAAAATAGAATGAGATTCATACATGTTCATATCATGCAATGCTAAATTGTCAACATAATCAGTAATACTCAATTATGGAAGATTAAATGATTACTCTGCAGATTCTGAGGGCACTGAGAAATACCTTATCCAACTTGAACTTTCTGAGCCCTATAATGAGGTGTTTTAGGAGAAATGGTGAATTTTTCACTCATGAAACATGTTTGAATCTGGTTGACTATGAATATGAACTTAGTTGACTGTAATTTTATGATCTGAACCAAATTCAGGAGCTTGATAATTGTTCTTTATGGGGTTATTGGTTTTTTAGTATTAGAACTGTAAGCATTTTAAAAGTTTAGCTGCTCATGAAAGTGTATGGTGTTCATATACTTATCCATTTTGACTATATGAATACATTTGCTATTATTTGAGGTAAGTTTTAGTTTATAAAGTGAGATAATTTGTGCTGTTTATTGGAACTCTCTAGCTGGACCTAACAAATATCTGCAATCGTAAATACGAGGAAGTGTTTGTAAAATGCTCTTTTTTTTTACCTTGATGCAGGGTTGAAGAGTTGTTTCCAATTATTGATCCCAAGGCCAAACCCACAGTGAAGCCCAAGATTTGTTTGAGTATGTTGTGGAAACAACTGAATCATCTTGGGTAAAAAAATTCTATTTACATTGTTTTATACGTTATTATCATTATTTTTACTTATTATATGAAATATCTAAACTGAAAAGTGTATATAAATAATTTCCAAGAATACTGGTTTTGATCCTGAAGTAATTCGTGTTGATTCTTATGGAAATGTTCTTTACGATCATGCTGATGCTGCTTCCCCTCTTGCATGGGATATTGATCATTAGTTCCCTTGCTCAAGTAAATCCCTAATCATATAACTCTGCTTTTAGATTGTAGATTCTCTAGATATTAGTTTAGCAGAAGTGTTTATTTTATTTTATTTGTGAACTAAAATGCGATTAAAAAAAAAAAACCGAAGGAGGAGGATTGATTGTTCCAAAAAACCTCAAAATATTGCAATGGCAAGTCTGCAAAAGAAAGCATGACAAGCTTGAGTTTCTCATACCTTGGTGGGATTTTCAAATTGGCATATCGATTAACCAGTTCTTGTCTTTTTTTTGCTTCATCCAACGCATATTTCAGGTTTGTAATATTAGCAGAATTAACCGTTAAGTACGCATATTTTCATTTTATAAAATAAGCTGGTCTTCTTTACACCTTACTATTGTTTTTTTATTTATTGTGTATTTCAGGCGTAGGGCATTTTCGTGGTTGTTTTCGGAAGGTTATGACATGGATCCTTCATCTCTATGTGAATTAGGACATATAGAGTGAATATGACATATTTATAGAGTGAATACAATGGAAGCACCGACATGCTGGTAAATGAGAACTAAACTTTGTAATAGTAACATTTATTATACATCTTTGGTCATCTCACTGAGGTGCATTAATTCCAGACATACAATTGCTATTCAAGTGCATATTAATAGCAAAAATTGAAGTAGATGTTGAATTAAGTGACTTGTTGATTCTACAATCTGTTGTTAACTTTTAAGAAGGCATGAGTCATGACAAAGATTGGTCATAAATTATATAAAACATATCCACGCTTGTCATTGTGGAAAAGAAATATGAATGAAAACGACTGCAGAAAGCAAAGAGAAACACCAACTAAATTTAAAATATTTATGTCCAACACATTTTTTAGGTGGGATCTCAATAACAAGAAGACCAGCAAGGCAAATAAAGATAGAAACAAACAGAACAACACAAAAACTGAACACATCCCAAAGATCTAGAGACACATAACCTTCACCAGAAACCAAGAAATCACCAGATCACATAACCACACACACGAAGTACATGTCATGATGATTTAAAGAAGTTACTCAAGGAGCATATGAAGTGATTGATTGGTATTGACTGATCATTGCAAGTGATGACAAATTATCACTATATTTTAAACTAAATTTGAGTCCGCCATGTCTGTTTATAGTTCTCTACAACAAGTGTTATATCTCATTTATGTTTCGACTACAAACATAAATCAATGTTTCATAAACCACTGGTGAAATTCAAGAGAGCAAAATTTTAAAACATTTTCATAAAAAAAAGACACAATATATGTGAACAAATGCAACATACGCTAAAATAAAAGCTGCAACAACTTATGACAAATTTTCACAGTAGTTTTACACCAGATGTTAGACCGCCGTGCGTGCACGACGTAAACCCATCTAGTAATAAAAGTAAACTTATCTAATAATAAAAATAGGAGGGAGTATCATGTATTGTTTCACTTGTCCCACATAATAACAAAGATAGAGAAAAGTGAATATCTTGGAAAAAACGCATCTTAATTTTTTTGGAAAAGCAAAATTTTTGGGCAAAAAATTTCATAAACCAACATGATGTAAGAATTTCCATTTTTCTTCCACTCCCTCCAATAAAATTATTTTAATCACTTCCCCTCCACCTGGGCTCTTTTCCATTAAAATACATCCCCTCCTTTTTTAAAACATAGGTTTCCTCCATCTCCGCCGCGTCTTCTTTCTCTCTGATTCTGCTCCGGGAATGCCTTGCAGCGCCGTCCGAGAACTAACAGTTCTAACTGAGTTCAGGCCATTCGGCTTGACTGCCGAAGCCCTCGACGGCTGCAAGCACTCTGACGATGACTACCATTACTTCCTTTTCGATCCCCAGCTTGCGTTGCAGAGAGATGAGGCCGAGGAGCTTGATGATGCTTCCGCATTGTGCAGTGTGAGGGGTGATCACGAACTTTTTATAAGAGGAAATCGGTAATTGCATGATAATTTTTTGTTAGTGTTTGATTATTTTATTTGTTAGAATTTTGTGAAGTTGGGAAGTTGTGGCTTGATTGAAGTTTGTTAGTGCAAATATGTAAATAGTTGGTCGCTTTTGAAAGTTTGCGCCTTAGTGCTCCTGCTTTTTATTGAAAGAAATGCGTAATTTTTTTTTTTAATAAAATGCAGTAACTAATCAAAAGAAAGTTCTAGTCCGACTATTTTTTTGTTTTTTTTTTTTTGATCAATGTGTCTGTTTGCGCCCTTTTCTGAAGGACAAATGTGTTGAGACCCAGCAGAACAGTTTTCTCATGGTGAATTGGAAAGTACAATTTTTTTTTTTTCAGTTCAATTTATTGTATTATTTTAATTTTTTAAGTTGTAGGAGATGAAATATACTAACTATGCAGAATCTGAAGCTTTGGCGGAAAAAAAAATATACTTTTGAGTTGTATGAGATGAAACTATGAAATGTACTCTTAGGTTGTAGGAGATGAAATATACTAACTATGCAGAATCTGGAATTTTGTCAGAGTCATATGGAGTACAGGCCCCAGAGTTCATCGGAGGTTCACATTGCCATCCAAAGTCGTCAAGGTGATAGATGTTTCTGTAAGATGAAAAATCATATTTCTTTGATTTGGGAAACTAATATATTATGCCTCATACAGTATATCCTGTTAGTTGGTGTATTGTTATATGTTAGTTGATAACAACTGGGTATTCATAGCTCATATGTTCGGATGTTCCGAAGGGCATTAAATAAAATGACAAGAAGAAAGCTAATGTCATCCTGTCTGTCTTATGTGTAAACTTAGTGTGATTTTAAACCATTTCATGTTATAAGTGGCAGGTATGCTGGTGCCGGATGGGTCATCTGTCTGAAGCCTTACTTTGTGTTCTCCAAGTTAATAGTTTAACAATCTATGGGATGGCAGGTGAGATTTGTCATTTGTCTTTTTTGATGTTTTCTTCAATAATTGTAGTCTGAGCATACATGCTATGCGAGCTTGAGAAGCTTGATGATTGCCAGTATTTTTTGCTATTTTTCATGACCTTAATGACCCTTATGATTTTTAACGAGCTTTGTGTTAGTTTACAAATTAAAATCTTGTCGCATTGTGAGCTTATTCAAAATTTTCAGTTGTACAGATATTGCTTGGAGTTTGGTCTCACTCTCATCACCGTTATGCTAACTTAATAGAATTTTGTTTGTTAATGGAAGGGGCACAATACACAAAGGAACTATTGAATTGAAAATCATGGAGTTAGTTGTTTAGTATCACTTTCTCTTCATTGTATATCCTTTTCAATTGTTAGTCCCCAGCATGCATTTTCAACTTGATGCTTTCTTTACTCGTTAGCAAAAAATGTTTGACTCTCTTTTACAGGTGAAGTGTTCTCTGTCCCTCTTCCTCATGCCATCAAGTCAATATGGTCTCTTCCATTCGGTTTACTTCTCCAGCAGGCACCCGTAGAGAGCTTACTAACAAGTATTTCGTTGTCATCCTTGAACCCATTTTTAAGTGTCCGTGATGTTTTCCGCCAGAAAAGGGATGTCGGATACAGCCCACAACATAATTTGAGCCCACCTTATGATTGTGATTATAGTACAAGAATCAATGGCGCATCAATGTCCTCTCATCTGATATTGAAGGATCCCTTAGAGGAACCTCAGGCATTAATTTACTTTATTTTGTTATTGTGGAAATAACATGCCAATTGTATTTTGTTATTTGTTATCTTCATGCTGACTGGTTTAAACAAGTTTTGTGCATATCACTGATGGAAATTTCTTGGTGGTTCCTTAGATAAGTTATACGGAAGAAAGAGGGAAATTAAATGTAATGTGGGAATTTGATGAAAAAACCATTTGGACTAGCCACTGTTTGCCTCTGATGGTTTCATATAACAAAGGTAAAGTCAATTTTCTGTATTTTAGTATTTCTTCCTTCATTTGGATTTTAATTGCCAGGAATATTTTGTTATTTGCTTTGTAGGAAAGATGCAACACTCGCTATGGGTAGTAGAGCTCAATAACTCCAACCATGAAGTAGCAAATTCTAAATCGTCCAACCTAAGTGCCTCTCAAATGTCAGGAAAACATCTTTTCAGAAGGATATGGCAGGGGAAGGGTTTACAAACTGCAGCCAGTAAGGTGAAAACTTTTCATCTTCTCCTGGTGCCTTCTGTATCAGAAGCTTTTGTTATTTAGACCTTAATTTAAGTTCATTTTTAATAGCTGTACGTTTTCTGCTTTTTGTAAATGATATGGTAACACTAAAGACCATGCTTGATGAGTTTTCTGTTGTGATTTCTGTTTTGGGGAATTGGATTTTGGGTGATTTGATATATGAATTGAACCTTTAGATAGAATAATCTAAATATGTGTTTGGATTAGCAGTCATATCCATTGGATTGGTTTGAGCTAATGTTATAATTTTACAAGTCCTATTTGGCGTAACATGACTTCCTGTGTATATGAACTTACTAATACAGAACGGGTAGCTTTTATAATCTAGCCTTGAATTAGATTGACCTATCTGGGGCGTATGTCTTGTCATCTGAGTGACTTTTAATTTTACAATTTTTCACCTGAGAGACCACCACATCACAAGGCAAGCGCTTAATGTTACTGTTCCTTGATGTTGTTTTCTTCTCACCTTCACATTAATTCGGCCTCATAAATTCAACAGGTATTTCTGGCCGCTGATGATGATGCTACACCTATTGTGTGTTTTCTCCTCCAACAACCAAAAAAGCTGTTGTCTTTACGACTTCAGAGCCTGGAATTAAATAGCGAGACAGTCTATGATATAAAGCCTGATATGAGCTGGAGCATATCAGCAGTTGCTGCTGCCGCCGTCACTGTCACTCGACCCAAGTATTTACTGTTATTTTTCGATTATGTTTTGTTCTTTCCGATTCACCAGGTGACTTGAATGTGACTCATGCAGCGCGAGAGTGAGAGTGGGACAACTTCCAGTTAGCGATGTTATTGCTTTGACTCCAGAAAGCACTCTTCTTCTTTATGTAAGTTGCTGTTACTTTCACCTATTTTGATATCAATTTTGCAGTAGTCGGACTTTCTACATGCCTATTTGGTGCATGCCAAACTGTTAAGGAGTTTTGTTGAGTTTACACTCATGGTGGTCTCAATTTATGTTGTATTGTGTATGATTTGTAGAGTTTATATTTGGAGAACCCAAAAGTGTGTGCCTGTGTCTGATTGGCTCTCATTTGTCAATGAAAGCAAATGATCTGAAGTCTTTCTGTCCGGATGTGCTCCATGTATATATATATATTAGGTGGTGGATCGAATGATAATCATTCTTAAAATGCGAGATTAATCGTAGAATATCCATCCATGAGCTTGATCCAATGGAATGTAAATTGGTTAGAGTAATGACATATTTTTTTTGTTATAAATGTGCATTCAATCAACTTCTAGTTCTACATGAGCAGTGATTTTGAAGTTAAATGCTTATTTCCTTTTCTCTCTTCTCCATTCAATTCTCACTTCTATTAAAATTACTCTCTAATTGTTAAAGTATACAAACAATTTCAAAATAAATTACACCATATAATTTCTCATAACCTAAATAATAAAACTTATGCCATTTTGCTAGGTGAAATATTATATTTAAGAGTTCAAATTAAGATTATTCATAGATGTAATTTACAAATAAAAAAAAAAAAATGCACATCTAGATATCCATCTATGCACATTTTGTAGTATCAGTGCACATCTAGAAGGATAAGAGTGCTACATTACATGTTTGCATAGTTTAAAATGGCGACGCCATGGCGACGCCTCGAGGCGAGGCGACCGAGGCAAGGGCCACTTCGCCTCGCCACTGCCTGAGGCGACCCTGTTCGCGAGGCGCTCGCTTCAGGTCGCCTCGGCTCGCCTTTTCGCGTGGCGAGAGGCGCCTGTGAGGCGCGCCTCGGCGCCTTTCAGAGGAATTAAAGCGGCAGTCCTTAAAAAAAAAAGAAAAAAAAAGCGACACTTTTTGAAAAAAGAATAAAATTAAAACAGATCGAAAGCAAAAATACTTTAGTGAAAAATCTTTAAATAGCTTCTCCCCAAACTAGGACTTGTACGAAAGAACTCCCTAGGCTTCTCTGATTTGAAAATTGCATAAACTCATGGCCGACTCATCCTATTTCCGGCCTCCTCTGAACTCCGGCCACCATCTCGCACCGCCAAGACGGTGGGTGATGCATGCCTTTTCTTTTCTTTTCCTTTTCCCTTTCTCTTTTCCTATTCCCGTTTTTGCCGTCTCTTTTTTTTCTCTCTTCATTTTTTACTATATTTATGTTTACTAGTATGATCAATAGTCCAACGTGAAAGGGTGCAACATCTTGTCTTTCATTTACTTTTATTTTACACTTTTTATTTGCCTTCTTTAACTTTTTTCTATTTTATGTTTACTACACATTGTAAATTCAATATTTTTGCTTTGTAATGTTACTAGTATTCACATTTAAGTTTTAGATTCTTTTAGTAATTACAACTAAATTTAATTTATATTATCTATTTTAGAATATTTAAGGTTATTGTTGGTACTTGAACTTAAATATGTGTGTATATATATATGTATATATATATATATATATATATATATATAGTATTGCCGAGGCCTTGCCATGGCGATTCGCCTCGCCTCGTGGCGAGGCAATGGGCCAATCGCCTCGCCTCGCCATTCGCCATTTAAAACTATGCATGTTTGGTTTCTCCATTTAAAATATATTTATTAATCAGCCAACCACCCACTATTTGAATGCACATTTAGTTCTTTAATTAGCAGTTATTAGCCTTTTAATCTACATTTAGATTGATATATGTATCACAGAATGTGTTTATCTTTTTTTTTTTTGCATTAAATAGTTAATCCATTAGATATAAATTTATGATAACCCAACCAGGATTTTGCCTTACGTTCCTACTTTCATGGTTGCCATTTGACCCAAACTATATATACATACATATAGCTCTGCGTGCTCCATGTATGAAAACTTGTGTGCATCAATTGTTTCTTTCTGTTTTCCAGTTATATGTAGCATATTGAAGAATCAATGGAACATAGGTGGAAATTAATAAATTTTTTTTTTGTTTCTGTTAGCTTCAGAAGATCATGTTTCTTAACATGAAAAATTTGCTTCATGGCACTCTGTTTGTATTACTGTTTCCATAGAGATTGTTGTACTATTTCAGAAGTAATATTGTTCAGTTCGCTAACTATTGACTTACAATATGGCTATCATAGTCAATGAGAAGGAGAGTTTCCCAGGATTTTTATTTTCTAATTGCTATACAGAAGTCTCAAGGAAAAGAGAGAATACTTTTTGTGGTTGGGGTGTTTTTGATTGTCATTTTTTTTTTCTCGTTTATGTCAATGAAGATTGCTATCAAGCCTTTTGCAATTCTGCATAGTTTGCTATATGGACTTGTTAGTTGTTTCTGGAACTTTCCCGCATAAATTATTTAGCTTCCTGCTCCAGATGTGCTAGCTGGAAGTACTCATTTTCTGGTCTTGCTTTTCTGTTTCATGAATATATAAAAATATTTGTCTCAACTGTAATCTTTGTGGAGATAAAC